GAGGCGACCACCTGATGGCAATGTTGAGCCTCACAGCTATAAATCTGCTTTTCCCAGTAACTGACTGAGGATGATAACTCATTGTAATGGCTCCTTGCCCTCCGTCTGAATAGTTTGAGAGCTGCACGAAACTTGTCGGAGGAAAGCCGCCGACGGGAAAGCGAGTAGAGACGTTTGTCATCCCTCCCGTTGCAGGTCGTCTTACTCCTGCCGTTACTTTGTCCTCCCCTGCTGTTTCTTCGACTTCTTCGGGAAGTATCAGAGACGCCAGTGTAAGAAGTCCCAGTATAAAGAGTACATTGACTTCATCGCCGAGGTCGGCCAAGTGTGCGGCTTCAACACCGAGGAGGACTGCTTGAGAATACCGTCAACCAAACGGGTAAATGCAGAGAGCAAGCTCACTACAGGAAGGCTAGAGGGGTAATTACACACATTAATGGTGTACAAACACAAGAAAATAGTGACAGGACCCCGGGGAAGGATAGTCTGGCTATAACTGCATAATTAAGTGATGGTTGAGGGGGGGGATCTGATCTGAAACTTCCCCAACAAGCAAAGTTGTAAGGCCAATCTTAAAGTAGAGTGGGCGGATGTCTCCTGTAAACATCCACAATGGCACAGAGCTGCTGTACACTAAATAAATCCACAGTGTTTAGCTCAGCTTTTTCTCCACATGGGCCTTGTTAAGGAGACTGACAGATAAATCAGGTTTTATTGCCCACAAAGAGATATTTGTTTCATAGCTCTAAAACCAGTTGCTGCTTGGCTACACATGAATCAACCAGAGCTGTTTCACAGGGCTGCTCAGATGTACGTTTTATATTTAGAAGAGTCCTTTTATTTTCTCTAAAATGGGTATTTATACCCAAAGTCACGTGTATCCCGTCGCTGTTTCTCTTGTTAAAAATAAGTGCTGTCGTTCTATTTTGGTTTTATGGTGTTAAAGTTTCCCTTTCCGGCACCGTGGGAGCCGTGCTGACTTTCGGCTCTCCCCCCCCCCCCCCCCCCCCCCCAGGTCTGTCTGGTGGGAAAGTCGAG